CAGATTAGCTGGTGTTAGACAGCTTGGCAAATTAGCGTGGACTCTCTTTGTAACCCCGTCACCCTGAGTTGATGCCAGTCATGTGGTGCGTGAGGTATTAATAGAATGCCCACAGTAGAAGAGCCATCTGTTGACAATCTCAAGTTAGCTGGGAAGATAAACAGAAGAGTGGATCAGTTGCCCTCGGCCACTTTGCTGCCTTGAACTGACGGTCACACGGTGGTGACACTGCTGAGTAAATTGGGCAAGTGGTTTAAACAATCTCTCTCTCTCTCTCTCTCTCTCCCGCTTCCAGCTTTCCTCCTCTTCCCGTGTGCTCTGTGCTTATGGGCCAGCACTGGTCGTTACAAAATAAATGCCTATCATTATTTTGAAAGGGCAAAGCAGCACAGCCCAGGACGAACATTTTTTGCCATGTAATGTGAGAGTCGCTGTTCTCAATCAGACCAAGTCCATTTGTTCCCTTCCCCACAGTAGACAACCAGATGCTTAAAGGAGCTCAGCTGGATGTGATATGTCGTGGCCTGCTCCTGTTGTTTGTCCCTAGTTTCTGCTACTTAAAGGCATACCACCACTGTACCTGGAGGTTCCATTTAGCTATCATAGCCAAGATCTTGCCATTTGTAGTATAATAATAACTAGGAAAAAGGCCTGTTGTGGAAATAAATACAACAGCCTCTAGAAAGAGGCTCTGGGCAGGTGCTCCGGCCTTGGACACTCAGTGTTAATTTGCTGTGGCGACCTCAGCAGGGTATAATGACACTGAGTCCACCATTTTCTCCAGAGGAACTGATCTCTGCTACCTAAAGAACAGTTGTAATTTTGAGTGATCTCCAGCCCTCACCTGGAGATTGGCAACGATGGTTCATCAGAAGGAAATGGTTGGTTTGGAGGGTGGAGTCTATGGCTTTGTACCTGTCCGAGGTGCTACGCCTCCTGAAACCTCACCCTCTCCAGGCTCCATCCCTCACCTCTCCAGGAATTTCCCACCTGGAGTTGGCAACTCTATCTCCTTCCCAGCCAACCATCAACCTACCTTTATTTCCCCCTCACTCTTCAGCTTTCCACCCCCCCACACACACCTGCAGCCTCTCCCGTGCTCTGAAGCCCCAACTGCTACGTCACATTGGCTGTCATATGGGGGCCACCTCAGCAGCATATAAGGATACAGAGCCCACCATTTTCTCCAGGGGAACTGATCTCTGCCATCTGGAAAGCAGTTGTAATTCTGAGTGATCTCCAGCCCTCACCTAGAGATTGGACACATTTTACCTCAGAACAGCAAACTGTTTAGAATGTTAGAGGCAAAAGCCAATTAAGTCGCATATGCAAATGACCTCTGTGTTCCGAGGCAAAGGCCAATGAGGCTGCATATGCAAATAACCTCTGTGTTCTGACTGGCTTGGGGGGGAGAGGAACAGCAAAATGTTTAGAATGTTGGAGGCAGGACTCGGGCAAAGCAGCCAGTGGATAGGGAGACCCTCTGAATGACAGATCAGAGAGCGAACTGATTTTGGAGCGTGTGGAATGTTCTAGAGAAGTGCCACCACCATTCGGCTTTTATTTATAAGGGAGAAAACAACAACAAAAATAATAAATATCAGCCTGTTACCACTTAATGGGTTATCCCAAACCAGTTATTATATTCAGATGGGTAGCTGTGTTAAGTCTGTCTGTAGCAGTAGAAAAGAGAAAGTCCAGTGGCACCTTAAAGACTAACAAAATATGTGGCAAGGTATGAGCTTTCATAAGTCGCTGCTCACTTCTTCAGATACAGCTAGAACGGGAGTCCATCTGTCCTTACGTCTTGGAGAGTGGAGTCATTTCAGATGCCAAATGACACTAGCAGGTGAGTTACAATAGCAGGCGTGATTGGATTCGGTGTGATATGCAGAGGAGTAGTAGTAGTGGAGAAATTAGCACTGGTAATTGCTGAGTTGCAGCTGATAATAACGCTCAAGACAATGCATCCTCCTGAACTGAATCGAGACATAGGTTTCCTGTCTCATTACCAATGATGATTTCTCCATGCCTACTATCCGTCCACATATCGCACCTAGCCCAATCCCGCCTGCTCTTGTCATTGACCAATTGTCATTCAGCATCTGAAATCACTCCAGTCCCCAAGATACAGGACAGAGGGACCTGCATTCTAGCTGTATCTGCAGAAGTGAGCAGTGGCTCACAAAAGCTCATAGCCTGCCACAAATGTTGTTAGTCTTTAAGGTGCTACTGGACTCTTCCTCTTTTCGACAATTATTAGATTGGCCATCTGATTTATGTAGCCTATCTGAGCAAAGTGGATTGTATATGACTTGGTTATAAAGCTTACATGTATTTAAAATTTAGCGCAGATCAGACCTTCACAAGGCTCTGTCCCTAGCCCATATCCCTTAGTGTAAGGGTCCCCAGGCTTTTAAAACCTGTGGGCTTCTGACATAGCATGGTGTGTACAACTACAAAATGGCTGCCACAGAATGGTTGCTGCAGGAAGCCAGGCCAGCCACAAAATGGCTGCCGCAGCTTACCCATAGTCAGAAACTGGAGATCCTTGTGCAGAAGTGGCAGCTGCTGCCAGAGCATTTTTTTAAAAAACTGCACAGCCAATCAGAAGCCTTACTGTGCAAAAGCCAGACCTGGCCCAGCCCATTTTCTAAAAAATACCTGGCAGGTACCAGAAAAAGTGTTAGTGGGCGCATGGCAACCACTGGCACCCTGCTGGGAAACCCCTGCCGTAGTGTTAGATGATCTCTTCTATACCATGGTCCATATTATATAAATTGGAATGCATCTTTTTTTCCCCCACAAGATGAAGAATCCAAATTTTGCAAGCATCACAAAACGTGTCAAGTATGTATTCCAAACCCCATATATTTTCTTCCTGATTATAGTTCTGGTGCTGAATTTAGAAGTAACCCATATCCTATTTGCAAATGTTCTACCTGATGTTTATGGGTTTTTAAAAATACAAGTTATTAAAACGTGAGTGCGTTCTGTGTTGCTTGCTAAAGCAGACACAGCGCACAGCAGTATCAAGTACTTGTTCTGCCAGTATGTAATTTAAATAAACAGTAATTATGTCTAATGATATGCTGGCCCATCTCCATGAAGAACTGCAGAAACAGTAAGCAATAGCCAAAGATCTTTGCATAGAATGAGATATGGCAAAGGAGTAATCATGTGTAGTGCTCTGTGGCCCCAGATAGATGCAGCCGTACACTCTGCATCACAAGGCAAGTGGGCAGATACAGTGCCACCTTTGCTGAGCAGTAGTTATGGGAACAGCATGCATTATATTAGAAGTGTTAAGTATTGACTCAACACCGTCTCGTAAGTAACAGTGAATCAGCTTTATTGGTTTCGAAACAGGAACAGTGAAGAACACACAACAACAAACAGTGGAGCAGGGCTCCTTTTAAACTATCCCGGGCTTGTGTAGCCACACCCTAGAATAGTTAAGGACCAATGGCATTTCAAAGATAACATCCAATAAGATCAGTTCCCTCCTGAACATTTCTCTGCACTCTGATTGGATACATTCATACATTAGCAAATAGTATTGTTACAGCTTACAATCCTTATTTGCTTTTAATATAGTTAAAGACATAATATAGTTAAAGACATAATATAGTTAAAGACATAACAATTAGTCCTCAGTTTTATTTTAGTTTTTTGCTCTTGTGGGCACCTCTGGAATTCTGACACAGGGGGGTGGGCACGACCACAAAATGGCTGCAATTAGTGCAAAATATAACAAGCAACAGAGTCCCTATAACACATGTAATTGACCTCTGAAGAAGGCTCTTGTGAGCCGAAATGCGTCAGGTCATATACACTGTTCTCTTCTGTGTGTATTTGTAACTTTGTACATTTTATGAAGGAGCTGCGGTGGCTCAAGTGGTTAAGACGCTGAACTGCAGGCTGTGGAAGGTCAGTAGTTCAGCAGTTCGAGACCCGAGTTGCCGCATGACGGAGTGAGCTCCCGTCTCTAGTTCCAGCTCCTGCCAACCTAGCAGTTCGAAAGCGAGAAATTGCAAGTAGATAAATAGGTACCGCTTCGGTGGGAAGGTAACAGCGTTCCGTGCGCCTTGGTGTTTAGTCATGCCGGCCACATGACCACGGAAACGTCTTCAGACAGCGCTGGCTCTTCGGCTTTGAAACGGAGATGAGCACCGCAACCCTAGAGTCAGACTCGACGGGCTTTCGAGCAAGGGAACCTTTACCTTTACTTTTACATTTTATGAGGCTTTATTTGGGGCCCTACTAAGTTTTTATATGTCTTTGTAATAAACACTCTTTTGTACACTTACTTATGTTTTTAACTTTTGGCCCTTAATTAGTTTTCTAAACTTCCTTTGGAGGTTTGTGCTTTGTTGGTTTAGATTCTCCCCCCCCCCCGCCTCCATTATCCCCCCCCCCCCCCCCCCGTTTTTTTTAGTGTCTCAGTAGATAAACCATAGTTATGGTCATTGTTCTGTCCGGGAGTGCAGAATGCTAAGCAGGTGGGAAACAAAACCAGATGAGCAGTTCTAAAGCATGGTCTTTGTGTATGATTGGAAGTTCAGATCACAGTTTGCAAACCATAGGTTCTAAACTTAGGGTGCGACCTGAGTGGAGCCATTTTCTGGGTACTAATGAAAGACTTTTGGTGATGCTCTCATAAGGGTTAGGAGCTAGCGGCTCCCCTTACGCTCCTCTTTGTGACACTTCCACTCCCAGCAAAGATTAGATGGCCCCAGTCTGGTTTTCTCCACTGTCACTTTTAATGGCTCAGCTTAGCAATTAAACCGATGAGAGGAGGCAGATAGATCACTGTCTCTTGAGCTCCTGAAACTATCTTTCCTTTCTGGCTCTTCTGCCTATCTTTTTTTTTTTTTTTTAAATAGTCCGTCAACAAACAAATGTCCAAACCGTTTTACTGCGTGTCACCTGACAAGAAAGCCGAGATTAGAAAAGTATTTTTGTACTCTAAAGCTGAATGTCTTTATTTTTATCCACAGCTGTTGGAACTGATAGCAAAGTCCCAGCTAACGTCACTGAGTGGAATCGCCCAGAAAAACTACATGAACATCTTGGAAAAAGTAGTTCAAAAAGGTAAAAACCACTGTGAATCTAGGGTTAACACTCCGCAAGGAACAGCCCAATTTGAATGTTTGCTTAGAAGTAAGTTTGGGATTCCATGTCCTGTAGAAGCTGGTTTTGGAAGACCAGTTGAATTCGCTCCAGTAGGGCTCTCTAGGTGAGGGTTTCCAGGCCATCTCGCTTATCTCGGGCCAGTCTTTCGACCTAATCTACCTCACAGGGTCGTTGTGAGGATACAGTGGGGGGGGGAAAGAAAGATATAACCTGTCTTGAGCTCATTTGGAGGAAGGGCGGGATAAAAAAGTAACCATAAAATAACCATAAAACAAAAATTCAACTGGCGTTACACGCAAAGGATCAGGCTGTTCATATGGTCATCCATAGAAAATAAGCCCTATACGGTAAAAACAAGCATGTTGGGTAGAAGGCTGAGCTAGGGCCCTTCCCTCTGTGTCTAGCTATTTTGTGTGGAATAGCATTTTTTAACGTTTTATTTATTTAAAGCATTTACATGAAGCTGCCTTATACGGAGTCAGACTCTTGGTCCATCAGAGTCAGTATTGTCTGCTCAGACAGGCAGTGGCTCCACAGGGCCTCAGGCAGAGGTCTTTCACATCACCTACCACCTGATCCTTTGAACTGGAGCTGCCAGGGTTGAACCCGCGACCTTCTGCATGCCAATCAGATGCTCTGCCACTAATCCATGGCCCGGCTGATATATTCTTTCTGTCCCGTCACACCCAAGGAGCTCCTAAAGTGGTGCCGTTTGAGACACAGGTTTATTACCTCTGTGGGAAGTAGATCTTCAGCTTCATACTTGGCACGCAATCCCTAGGTCAGAATAACCCAGCCTAGAGAGTTAATTGCTTTTATGTCCCACTGATAAATCAGTGATGTGTAACTTCTGTTCCATTTTTTTAAAAATGGAATTTAAGAGCCACTAACTTTCGGCTCTGACCTGCATGGCCCAATCTTGACAGATCTTGGAAGCTAAGCAGGGTTGGCCCTGGTTACTACTTGGATGGGAGACCACCAAGGAAGTCCAGGGTTGCTACGTGGAGGCAGGCAATGGCAAATCTCCTCTGAATCGCTTGCCTTGCACACCCTGTGGGGTTGCTGTAAGTCAACTGCAACTGACAGTGCTTTCCACCATCAACTTTCTCTAGGTCTGTACCTAAAGCTTCTCTGACTAGGGGTGGGTGGGATGTATCCAGTCTTTTATTGTAAACACTTTAAGGAAGGATTCAATTTCTGACACCAATGGAGACCACTTGGGCAGAGTTTAGATTTGTTTAGGTTTTGTTTTTTTGCTTATCCCTGTTTTTCTTTTTTTTTCATAAAAAGTCCTGGAAGACCAGCAGAATATCAGATTAATAAGGGAACTTCTGCAGACTCTTTATACATCCCTTTGTACCCTGGTCCAAAGCGTTGGCAAGTCTGTTCTGGTTGGAAACATCAATATGTGGGTGCACCGAATGGAGACGATTCTTCACTGGCAGCAGCAGCTGAACAACATCCAAATCACCAGGGTAAGTGAGGGTCCTGCCCTTTATCTTAGCAGCCCTGGAATGATACTTGTTTTGTTTTTTCATGTGGTTTGTGGAACCTCTCCCACTTGCATGAATGAGACAGTTGTGAGCCTTTCCAGAGCCCACTGAGAGAATGAATTCGGGCTGTCTGGATTCTTGTGACCTGACCGAGCTAAGGAGATCTACACATAGAAGCAGGTCTCTGCATGCGTATCGCTCACTCGGGCAGGAAGGATTGATGCAGTTCCAAAAACTCATGTGATGTGCATCAGATAACAGATGCAGTCTTTCAGCACTACATTTCTTCCAATGGCATGCACCTTGAATTTGCATGTCCCTCCACGTTCTAGCCATGTAAAAAATATAGATATTTTCCAAACATGCCTGGGAATGTAGCTGAGAGATAATCCATTGGATCCATCAATAAACTCCTCTGATGGAAGGGATTTCCGTTCACATCACCTACTGCCAAATCTTTTAACCGGAGATACTGGGGATTGAACCTGGGACCTTCTGCCTGCCAAGCAGACCCCTGCCCCAGCCCCCCCCCCCAATACTTTGCTTCTGTTCTGTTTTTTTGGCTTCTGGTTGGATCTACAACCCGGATCCTATTTCATCGCTTATTGAATGTCCCATCTTGTTAATTGTATTGACTCAACTCTGAGTAATCTGCCTTGAGTTCCAGTGGGAAAGGCCCGACTATAAATATCACAAATAAATAGAATGTAACTTTATCATGGAAGACAGGAAGGCCTGGTGTGATCTGGTCCATGGGGTCGCGAAGAGTCGGACTCGACTGTGCGACTGAACAACAACAAACTTTATCATCTTTCTTCTACTGCAGCTTAAAATGGTCATTACAATGTTCCTGGGGGAACAGAGATTTTAGCCTTGTTCACACGTTACAGTGAATGCATGTACGATCTGCACGTGCGTGTGTACACCTGTTTCTAAGAAAGAGCCAGTGAGTGTTCACTTTACACATGAAGCTGGGGCCCAGTACCTGGATAAATGTAGCATTTGAATCACACATTCAGCTGTGTATACATTGACTGTAACATGGATTCAGCTCATGTGTAAAGAAAAATCAGAATGCACTGTACTCATATTTTACATGCACTCACTGTAACTAGCAAACCGGGGGCTTCTTAGGAGCATTATGAGGGGCAAATTGGGGCCTGCAGTAGGAGGGAGGAATTGATAACCACCCACCCTTCCATTAGCAGAGTCTTACTGCTGATTCATTCCAGCAGCTCCCTCATGAATTCATGACTTGAGGTGAGCATGGTGACCCCAGTCCAGGTTGGACTTCCCTGCTTATTAGGGGCCAGCTGGTTAAGACGCTGAACTGCAGGCTGTGGAAGGTCAATAGTTCAGCAGTTCGAGACCTGAGTTGCCGCATGACGGAGTGAGCTCCTGTCTCTAGTTTCAGCTCCTGCCAACCTAGCACTTCGAAAGAAAACAAGAAATTGCAAGTAGATAAATAGGTACCACTTTGGTGGGAAGGTAACAGCGTTCCCTGCGCCTTGGTGTTTAGTCATGCTGGCCACATGACCACGGAAACGTCTTCGGACAGCGCTGGCTCTTCGGCTTGGAAATGGAGATGAGCACTGCAACCCTAGAGTCGGACTCTAGGGTTTCGAGCAAGGGAACCTTTACCTTTACTTTACACATCTCGCATCGACAGATCTCCAGCATCTTTTTATGTCACTTGGCTCTGAAAAGTCCCTTCAGCCGTTGCCCTTCAAGGAGGGGCAATCCTTGTCAGACTTCAGCTAAAACCGTTGAGGGGGAAAAAGAGGAGGGAAGGGGGGGATAGATGAACTGTACTAACGGCACTTGGCCATTTACAGTAAATGGACCGAATGTTTCTGCCGTATCTGAGTTGGCAAAGAGTGTTTTGGAGCTGCCAAGAAATCAGCTTGAAAGGACAGTTGGGGTGGGGGGGGAGAACAGGGATATTAAGCAAGTGATGCGTTTCAGTGACTCATTTAAAACCCTGTCAAGGAAACTAAAACTTAACTTGCTCTTCCAATCCATTCCAAGGTTTTTTTTGTTTTGTTTTGTTTTCAGTAATTGAAAAAGATGAGGAAAAAGGAAAATCTAATTCCTGAGAGAATGCTCTTGGTCATCACATTTAATTCTTAGTGACTTAAGCTTGTGATTGAGGATTTGGCTGTCTTGGTGCCTTCTACTCAGGACAAACCAGCACTGAGTTTAATTCACATTTCTGCCCAACTTGAAAGTTAGAGGTTGGGTCCTTTCACCCCTTCTTTTCTGGCGAGTGAACGCTTTCCCTTCTCCCTTCCCCTCCCCTAGGTAACATGTTCAGAAATGCCCCATGGCAATTGCGTCATTTGTAGTATATGTGGTCACTATTGTCCCAAGACAAAAATACCAGCCATCGGGTTCTTACTGCGTCTTGATAGTACATTCTCACACTTCACTGGGAAGCTCACATGATAAAAAGGCTCCCCTGTAGAAACCATGCCTATACACAGAAAACTAGTGTTGAGGAGAAGGCTACGGTAGAACTGTTCTTCACAACATGCCAGTTTTCTGTGCAGAGGGTTGTTGTTGTTGTTGTTTACAAGTCTGACTTGGACACAGGCTTCTGAGTCAGGAATTCTGGCTTGAGTGAGACCTAGGCTCGTGGGGGAGTGCAAAGCTTGCTCCCGAACTCACTGATTATGGTCTCAGGGAGAAACAATAACGGGAGGAATTGGTGCATTCATATGAACAGAAGCGCTAACAAATAACACTTGTGCTTGTGTGAGGACAGCAGTGCCAACTCCACCCTGTTCATTTTACCGCATCTGACAGGGATGATGAAACTGCCAAGGATTACATCACAATTGGCTCAGAGAGACTAGAACTGAAGGGCGGCGATACGTTGTACAAAAGCTGGTCATTTATTCAGCTGTGGGTTAAATTCTTTATTGAATGAGAATTAGCTTCTTTTGGGCGCATACCCATACCAAACTGAGAGCCAGTTTGGTGTAGTGGTTAAGTGTGCGGACTCTAATCTGGGAGAACCGGGTTTGATTCCCCACTCTTCCACTTGCACCTGCTGATGTGACCTTGGGTCAGTCACAAGCTCTGGCACAGCTGTCCTTGAAAAAGAGCAGTTTGTGTCAGAGCTCTCTCAGCCCCACCGACCTCACAGGGTGTCTGTTGTGGGGAGGGGGAGGGGAAGGGAAAGGAGTTTGTAAGCCGCTCTGAGACACCTTTGGGTAGTGAAGGGCGGGGTATAAATCCAATCTCTTCTTCTTCTTCTACCTCAGACTGGCCTGGTTTACTTATTTCATTATACTCCATTCTTCTCCCCCACATGGACTCAAAGGGACTTACAACATTCTCCCCCTTCTCCATTCCCTCCTCACAACCATCACCACCTTGTGAGGGAAGACTGAGAGTGTGTGACTAGACCAAGGTCACCCACCAGGCTGCTGTGGCAGAGTTGGGACTTGAATCTATGTCTCCCAGGTCTGACCCAAGACTCTACCCCACACTGACTACACTGTGCTGCTTTAACAGTTATTCCCTGCAGCAAAGGAAACCTGGGAACTGTAGTTCTCTGGGGAAGGGAATAGGAATCTAACAGAATTCCTGGCATCTTTACCAAACTAAAATACCCACAATCCTTTGGGAGGAGTTGATAACAGCATACAATTACACTTGGTGGCTCCCAGGCTTTTTGAAGTGGGGCCCTCTTCTAAACAAGCTGTGCTTTTTCAGACCTCCTTCTCAATTTGCTCTCATATTCAGGACCTACTTGCAAAAAGTAACTCCTTCCTGTACTGGAAAACCACTGATTAAACTGTTATCCGACTGTTATGTGGATACACCCTTCCATCCCACCATGCAGTGGAAGAGAAATGAATGCATAAGTTATTTGTGTGTTTGCTTGCTTTTTAATGGTGGATTGAATTGTTTCCATCCTGTCCTTCCATCCGCAAAATGAACTCTTGGGGCAGGTTACCAAATGCCAAAACCATCACAAGATTACAATAGAAACAAAACCATTACCCAGCTGCAGCAGTAAGACCTCAGAAGTTGTTAGCACACAAAACCATTGCACTGGCTTCCTGGCAGAGAGCAATTGGAGCCAGAAATCAACTTGGGAACCAACCTCCAGTGCGAGGCCTCAGCCGTGGTGCATGCAGGGGAAATAAAAATTAATGTCCACCTGAGCATATGTGGGTATGCCCTTTCTCAACCAGCTGCTTTGCCATGTGCGCCTGGGCAGGCTTTGAGCAGGACGTCCAGTGTGGAGGGTTGTCAGCAAGCTGCCAAATTTCTGTTGGTTCTCCATGTATGCGCTCGATTGCTTTCGCTTTCGTATGTAGACCTGTTGATGCGCTTAATTGCTTAGCTGCGGGAACGTCTATATCTCTCAAGGCCACAGGTGGTTGCTGCTACACAGTTGCTTGGGTGATCTCACAATGTACCGTGTGAAGCAGATATGTTATGCCGCCTAGAAGCATTTGCTCCCAGGCCCGATGGCGTGCGGGGGAACTCCCACAATTGGGCCTCAGTTGTTTGAATGTACTATAACCTGCCATGCTCGTTGCTCCCCCCTCATTCCAAACAGTGATCCTGTACATGCACCTATAGCTTCAAATAAAGTAAAACCTTCCTGCAAGAGTGTACTTCATTGATGCTGTGGGGAAGCCTGACAAGGGTGTTGGTTCCAAGCAAGTCTGAGCTCCAGTATCTTTCCCTTGACCAGCTAAAATCTGTTCCCTAAGATTTGTGTGCATCAAGTGCCATCAAGTTGTAGACAATTTAGGGTGACCCCTGTAGGGTTTTCAAGGCAAGGCACTAACAGAGGTGGTTTTGCCATTGCCTTCTTCTGCACAGTGACCCTGGTATTCCTTGGAGCTCTCCCATCCAAATACTAACCAGGGCCGACCTTGTTAGCTTCTGAGATCTGACAAGATCGGGCTAGCCTGGGCTATCGAGGTCAGGGCGTTCCCTAATGTAGGAGGCGCCAGTTAATTGATACCAGGGGTCATTTCGTAGAAAAAGAGCTAGGGGAACTCATTAGCATAACTCATTAGCATATGCCACACCCCCTGACATCAGGGGCCCGGCGGTGGACCTGCAAGGCCAGCGAGGAAGCCCCGCCAAGGCCCTCCCTGGCCCCAGGCAGGCAGGGGTGGGGAGAGGCGGGGAGGAAGCAACTTACCCTCCCTCTTCTCCTGCCTCCTCCTGGCTGAATGAGGGCTGGAAGCGGGGTGGCCAGAAGCAGGGGGCGGGGCTTTATCGTGTGCCCCGCCCCCTGCACCTCACCCGGGGGAACTGCGTTCCCCCGCGTTCCCCCCCGAAATGACCTCTGATTGATACTCTGATAGGATTCCTCCCAGCTGTGGATTAACATCACCTGCAGAGAAGTTGTCTCCATTCCTAACACCTTAGAGTATTCCACTGAAGCTTGCAAATAGAAGTCTCTTGTCAAGTGCATATGTTTGTTAATGTTTGAAAACTTGCTTGCATTTCCCATAGTTATCGCACCTCACTTCTTTGCTCTCTGTTTTTCTGGTCCTTTCCCAGCCTCCTCATAAAGGTCTGACTTTCACAGACTTGCCCTTATGTTTACAACTGAACATCATGCAGCGGCTAACAGACGGGAGAGACATTGTGAGCCTCGGGCAAGTGGCGCCGAGTCTTCAGGTGCTCGGTGAGGACCGGCTGCTCTGGAAGAAACTTTGCCACTACCACTTCACAGACAGACAGGTAAGAACCAGCAGGAATTGGGAAACTCCTAATTGGGTGTGGGGGATGGGACAGAGTCATCATGATATAATGGTTAGAGTGATCCTGAGTCTCCCTAGTCCTAGCATGACAAATCCCAATCTAGCCATGAAACTCACTGGGTGACCTCAGCGAGTCTTGCAGGGTTGTTGTGAGGATAAAATGGAGGAGGGGGGGAAACTTGTACAAGCATTCTGAGAAAGGTTAAGAACAAAAATAAGGCACTGGAAACGTGGCTCCTAGGATCTTGTTTCGTTCCATCCCAAACTCGTTTTCAGTCTCTTGGGCCCAAACTGTGGATCCCTGAAGATATTCCATGGAGTCAAGAGTCCAGTTATACGTCGATTTTCAACATCTTTATACCCTGTGGCATTAAAGAAAAGAAGGAACATGTTCTGAGTTCCTACGGCTGAAGAGACAAGCTTCCATTTGGTTTAAGAAGTGGCTTGTCTCTTCAGCAACTTACTACAATTTCAGTAAAAATGTACACACTGCTCAATGTACAGCTCCATCTTGATGTGTTGTTTTTCTTTTGTGCGTATGGTCCCTTTCTTTGGATACCAGTTACAGCTCTTGCCTGCTAGTTGTGCAACGTTTGGTGGTTCAGTCGCTCTGTACAATTTGAGTTGTCTTACATTTACACCAACGTCCTGCAGGCATCTTTATCCGTAACACACAGGAGTCTTGTGGCACCTTAAAGCCTAACACATCTTTGTTCTAGGTGCTAGTCCATGCAAGTTTATACTAAAATTTTAAAAAGTTAACATTTAAGATACCACACAATTTCTGTTCATTTTTGTGGTGACAGAACAAATTCATCTATTCCTCTGGAATATTCATAGCAGCTGCTTGTTATTCATGTCTTCTGTTGGTACCCCGTTTTCTGTTTATTTCTGTGCCAGCTTTCCACCCAATCAAAAATATCAAAACAAATCTTCGTAATACATAGTATAAAAACAATTTAAAATAACAAAACACATACGTACGTATGATTTTTAAACATTGATTTGGCATATATTTGTCTCTCTGATAGCCTGGATTTGGTGGATCGTGTTTCAGGGTGTTATCGGTTGTACTATAACCAACCCTTGAACCCAGGCCTACTGTTCTGCAATTTATTTATTTATTCATTTTACGTTTCAGATTCGCAAACGGTTGATCTTGTCAGACAAAGGACATTTGGATTGGAAGAAGATGTACTTCAAGCTTGTGAGATGCTACCCAAGGAAGGAGCAATATGGAGATACTCTGCAGCTCTGCAAACACTGCCACATCCTCTCCTGGAAGGTAGGCGATCAGCGCCCAAACCGAATGAAATGCATACCTGATAGCTGTTAAATTTTTACCTCGGGATAGAGGATGTGTGTGTCCTGACCTGGATAGCTTAGGCTAGGCTCGCCCAACCTCGTCGGATCATGGAAGCTAGCTAGGCTGGGTTGGCCGTAGTTAGTACTTGGATGGGAGACCATGAAAGAAGTCTAGGGTTGCTATGCAGAGGCAGGCAATGGCAAACCACTTGTCTTCATCTCTTGCCCTTAAAATGCTGGGTGGGTCACCAGAAATTGACTGCAACTTGACAGCCATTTGCAGACACACAGTGGGTATGTTATTTGAGTGTAGAACTAGGCCACAGACTTTCAGTTTGATTTTGCCCACCATTCACTGTGCGCGTGTAAAATGCCGTCAATTCATAGCTGACTTATGGCAACCTCAGCAAGGGGCTTTCAAGGCAGGTGAGGGGGTTTGCTGTTTCCTTCTGGAGAGCTTTCCCTGGTGGTCTGCCTTCCAACTACTAACCAGGGCCCACCCACCCCTGTGTATCTTCCGAGATCTGATGGGATTGGACTATACCATGCTGCTTTCCCTCCACTACCATTCACTGCAGCATTTCTTACGACATGATCCACTTTGAGAAGTCAGTGGCTGCATTCATCCCAAGCAGAGTTCTGTCCTCCTTAGCCCGTTAACTTCAGTGGACTCAGAAGAGTGCAATGCCGTTCAGAATTGCACTGTAAACTATCTAAAGAGACGCTGCTGATTGAGTAACGATTTGTAAATTGTTTCTCCTTTTTAGGGCACTGATCATCCATGTACAGCTAACAACCCAGAGAGTTGCTCCGTTTCTCTTTCGCCCCAGGACTTCATCAACTTGTTCAGATTTTGAACTCCGCAGGAATTTCACTCTTCTCTCTCGATATCTTGAAGGGACACTTCGTACTGCTGAGAAGACCTGCTCAGCCTGTATATAGTGTGTAAATAGCGCAGTTTGGGGACTCCCGCATTGATGAGATTTTTTTAGGAGGCAAAAGGAGTTGTCATTCAGGTGGCATCAGACTCTTCAAGAACATGGCCTTCTGCTAGTTGAACGGATGTGCGGAAAGACATTGCTCTGTAAATAACGTCGCTTTGTAAGAATCTAGAGTGGAAGGTACAGGGGAGAGACTGAATTCTGTTTAAGGGATTCAGATGGAATGTGCTGTCTATCCATTTGAAATATCTCTTTGGTTTCAGAGCACAGAAAAGGAAAACAGTGTGGTTAGGCTAGAACTTTTGAACTACTCTCCAATCTGGGTTTTGTTTACTGTAGATATTTATACCGAAAATATTTTTAGAATGACATATACGATGGGAAGGATACATCCCTTTATCCTTTTTTTTTTTAAAGAATCCACACAAAATGTACACACCACGCCATTTTCTACCTCTGAAAAGCTTTCCAATCTAATATGCAATGTGAAGCGCTTGTATTTTATGCAGAGACTTAAAGGGAAAAAAGTTCTTGGTGACAGTAACCGTACTTCTTCGGGTTAATGTTTGATTTCTCATTTAGTCTGCTTGCTTCTTGGCCGTTTTTGAATAGTCGAGTTCTAGGAAAGCTGGTAAGTTTTTGCTAGGTCCTTCCTTTGATGGGTTGGTAAAAATGTCAGATGAAAAGGAGAGTTTATGACGGAGACTTTGATGCCCCATCGGTCCTCTGTGCAGCAGTGTGGCCCATCACGCCCAGTTGCTGGTACTGTTCTAGACTTTCTCAGATCAAGTAGAGGGATGTTGGGGGTGCATTCCAACATAGCACATTGGGAGTGGCAGAGGCAGTTTTGTCTCTTTTTTTCTCCCAACAGATTGGGGATTTTCCCCCTGATATGAATTATTGAAAAGGCATAGTTATACAGAGCTAGATTCAAGTCCAGTAGTACCATACGGATCAGCATGATTTGGGGGGTGGGGGGGTAAGCTTTTGAGCCAAAGCTCCATTTGTCATGTATTTATAGCTTTGGCTCTCAAAAAAGCTTTTAACCCCCCCCCCAAAAAAGTTCTTGTTGTCCCTAAGGTGCTACTGGACTCGAATCCAGCTCGTCCACTGCCGACCAACATGGCCACCCTCCTGAAGCTGTCTTCATGGCTGTGCAGGTTTTCAGTGCAGTGGAACTTGTTGGGGTGACCCACCTGCAAGTCACTGCCTATTGGCTAGCACCCTTTGACATGACGAACCCACCTTTCCTTCCTCCTTGCCATCCCCAAAGCCGTTCCCCCCCCCTCCAGACAGGGGACTAAACTGTACATGCAGTTTCCAGGCAGCCTACCTGAAGCACAGGGGATGGACATGACCGAATCAGCATTCAATTTGTCGTTGAGAAGTGTAACTGTTGTGCAGACTGCAAGGCCAGGTTGCCGTGGGAGGTGAAAGTTGGTCTTCACCCGTTTGTCAATAATAACAATGTAGGCATTTTGAATCTTACTTCAGAGGCAGATGGGTCGTGACCACCCAGTCATGAAATCTGGTATGGCCTTCATTCACTTTAATGGAATGCAGAGCTTTGTGTGCACTGAAGTGAATGAGGAAGCCCACTCCTGCCGTAACTCATTATGTTATTATCAGGACACGCCCTGGGGACTGCAAGGAATTGGCAAGGGCGGTCACAATTCATTCACAGAAACATTTATCAGCATGAAAGGCTACCAAAAAACAACAACAACAACAATGTCTCCATCCTGATTTACTTTTGCCCCTGAAAATATTTACATATATGTAACTAGAACTGGAGGAAGGAATATAGTTTGACGTCATACCAGTATAAATTTAGAATGTTTGGGTTTCCATGGAACTAATCTGAATTTACACCTGAGATTTACTCCAGTGTGTTGTATTATATCTAAGTGCTGTTCCCTATATTTACATCCTGAGGACCACCCAGGTTTTAACTCCAGAATCTGATTATTGTCCTCAAGGAAGAGATCCCCCTTTTTGGGGGAACTGGGGAAGAAACAGAATGATAAAGATTTGTTTTCTTTCTCATTGTTTCAAAATAATGTATGTAAAGTCCGGGTGCCTTGTAAAGGACAAATTTGGAAAGCTAGTATTTGAAGAGAGAGAGATTCAAGGTATCAGAAAGGAATATTTGAGTTAATTATTGTTAAATATTCTACAAGACATTGTTTTTGCTGCTTTTGTTGTTTTTGATTATTCTTCTTGCAAGTGAAGATACCACGCAGTGACGCAAAATAAATCTGTTCAGGCAACCCATGTAAGCGCGCGTTAGCGATAGTAGGGTGGTTGCTGTTCCCTGTGAACAGGAATAGGATAGAAAGATCTTCACCCCTCTTTCTGCATTCCAAAGAAAAGCCATATCCACTATACTGGACATCTCTTGCAGAACCAGTGGAAAAACTGTAATGGAATTGGGCTGTGAGCTCATCAAAGCCATATGGATTGATCTCCACCATTCTGTTCAGCGTTGGCAGCTGAGTCTAAGCTGAATGTCATAGACAAATGGTACTGGATATTGCCTTTGGTGAGTCCATGGGCAGTTTTCACCAGGCGTTAGTACCTTTTGAGGATACTGAACACCCTGCAGGCCACACACATTAGCATAGCACGAGGCTCGTCTTTCATCTCCCAGTGGCCTCAACGAAAGGCCAGAGTAGGCCTCATGAACCAAGTAAAAAGGTTGGGCTGCTGTCACATTACGCCTTCTCTTTGGGTGCTCCCATATGTCTAGTTGGACGCAGGCGTTGGGCAGCCCACTGCTAAGTGCATAAGTATATCTGCTGTCAAAAGGCACCAGGAAGTGAAAAACACTAAGCTTCTAGAGATACGTCGTTAAAGGGGACCTTAGCATGCTTGTTCTGATGGCTGGCTGAAGAAAATGTATTTTGTGGGCTGTGCTATGTCAAACCCAGTGAAGCCAAAGACATCAGCTACAGGCTCATGTGATGCATCTCTTGCTAGACTGCACCACTTCAAAGGGCAGGCAGAGGGATCAAATGTTCGTCTGCTCCCTCCGGCTAAAAAAAGAATACCTGCTTTTGAAAAACTATCATGTCAAGAGAAAAGGGCTTGTTTACTAGCGGGAAGAGATTTTCTTACCGTGCTGTAATTCAGTGGAACGACAAAACATGTTAACTTTCTTAACATGTGATGCACTGAAGTTTTATTCGATTACACAGTTAAATAATACAGTAAGGGGAAGCAGCGCGGTTTAAATGGTTGTGCTAAGAGCCAAGGTCAAGTAGCAGGACCCTCTGCGCTGAAAAAAGGGGGGGTCTCCTTATTTATACATTTATAGTTGTTAACTGTGAATTAGGAACTGACTTGAGGATATGCTTTTGTGGAAAACACAAAATGCCCCCACGATACAATATGAAAAAAAAAACCTTTATGACATGCTTTTTACTATGTCAGGGTGTGTGGAAGGTTGCTTGTTGTGGATTATTATTGGTTTCAGCACTGTGAAAGAAGACTGATTCCGTGGGTTCTATCTGACGGGAATTCTGGGGAAACTATTTTCACCACTACAAAGCGCCCTGCATCAGTACTTGAAAAGTGTGTGGCGAGAAAGGGAGGAGGGCAACTGTGCCTAGCGGCCACGCGTGTCCACACATTAAGATTAAAACTGGGTTAAGTGATTCCCTCAGTCTGGTGAATCCTGGCAGCCATTCTGGAAGGGAGATGGCTAGAAGACCTCTAATCTAATGGAGACTTCTCAGTATGGTCACCAGAGTCCCGCTCCAAGGTAGGGTTTCCAGATGCTGAGTAAAAAAAATGTCCTGTCCCTTTAATAGGAGGCAGAATGGGATAGGATTTGCCAGGTGGCTTTGACCTGAATGGCCCAGGCTAGCCCAATTTCAGAAGCTAAATGGGGCGGCCCCGATTAGTACTTGGATCGGAAGTCCAGAGGCAAGCAGTGGCAAGCTGCCGATGTTCATCTCTTGCCTCGAAAACCCTACGGGTCACCAGAAGTTGGCCGCAACTTGACAGTGCTTTCCACCACCACCAGTTACCACCTGCTGTGATTGACGTACGTGCCACGAAAAGCTTCAACTGCATATCTCACCACATTGCACCTTTGTTAAAGGGACAGGACATTTTTCTTGGCAACCGAACTCCCAGGGTTCTTTGAACAAAACGGACAGTAAAAGTGGTATGAATTGGGTATGTTTGAGCTGTAGGTACTGGGCTAAGAAGCCTGTGCTGTTTATAATGGTAGCAAAGGGGATGGATGTAAGGGAAAGGTGGCTTTTGGCAATTGGGCCATTACTTGTGTGAGGGGGGGGGGGAGAGCATGCAACTGTATACATGCTTTTTGTGAAGAGAGACATTTTTAAAATCCTCCTTTCAGTGTATTACACTAAGTGTAAAACCAATCGATCTGTAACGGTGATCACACATCTTGTTCTTCTTGTGACCCCCGTTAATCATTTCCTGCATACAAACCAGCCCTTGGCAAACAAGTTCCTAGTGAATATTGCTGGTCTGTACTATGGCTTTCTATTATTTTGATTTTATAAAATGTGTGAGTTCTCTATGCTAGAAACACTTATTATTCCACAGACGTGATTCCTATGCAAAGTAAATAAAGGTCTGTGCTGTATGTATATAGGAAGATTTTGAATGCTTTTCAGCTTTTGAATGAGGAGCTAAATTGTAAAGACACGTCTCTTTGAGTACGCGTCACGGGAGGTGACTTTTTGCCACGCATTTGACCACATCGAGTGGGTGGTTAAAATCTTGGAAAGATCAAATCGATGTCCAAGAGAAATCTCAACTGTTGGGGATCCACGTGAGCCCTTGATCTCTATGAAAGAAGGTCAGATGCTGATAAACGTGCTGGGGAGTGCGATTTGTAGGTTGTTGCTACTGCACAACTGCAACAGATTTTGCACAACAGGACTCTTAAAGAGTATAGTTAGCTGCTTCTGTCTACCAAAATTACTGGTACAAGGTAGCACAGGCCTTGCCAACACGTGCTCTACACTGAGGTGGTGTGGTAGTAATGAGGTGGTAGAGTTCTGAGATGGTGGAGGGGGCTGCACCACTTTGGATGGGGGGGAGGGGGAAATCACATTTTTTTTGGATGCTCCCTTGTGTAAAAAAAAGCTCTGTGCAAGAAGGAAACCAGCATAGCAGGCATAGGAAGGAGATTTTGGCTGGAGCCTTTCAGGTTTTAAATTGGGGAGGGGGAATTTCTATGTGGTGGAGCGTTTATTATAAAAATGGCACCTACCCACAACCCCCACACACATTGGCAACCTGAAGCGATGCATGTGTAGACCAGTCCTGGTTTGAAATAGTCCAGGGACATTCCATGCGCAGTAAAAGTATTTACTAAATCTGACAGAATGTTCTTGAGGCTTGAAATCTTCCATTCACTACACGAGAGAGGGTAGTGTGGGGAGAGACGTCTCAGCAACCTGTTTTCATGGCTTGTCTTCAAAGCCCAGAGACTTTCCAAAACAGAGAGGGGTGGGTGGGCTTTAATTCTTCTTTTTTGCTGGCTGCCCTGTTGGCAAAAACAATGGCTTGCTGTAAATGTGATGCCTTTATGACTCTCGTAGGTCGTGCTCCTTTTGTGGGTGAGATTGGCTGTTTATGAGATTCAGGGTTCTGGAGTTGTGCCAGTCAATGGCATGTGCAATGCAAAGGAAAAGCAGGCTTCGATTCTGGCTTTTTATACAGTTCAAAAGGCTCCCCCGCCCCCCTTTTTACTAAAAGACTCATTCTCTCCCCTCCTGCCCAATTATGCAATCTCTGGAAAACAAGCCTGTTGCACTGTGTTTAGGATAGGGTTGCCATCTCTGGGATGGAAAATACTTGGGAGATTTTGGGGGTGGGGACCTGAGGAGGGTGGGGTTTGGGAAGGCAGGGTATAATGCCATAGAGTCCACCCTCCAAAGCAGGCATTCTCTCCAGGGGAACTGATCTTGGCCAGATAGAGATCAATTTGTAATAGCGGGAGATCTCCAGGTGCCATTTGGAGGTTGGCAACCCATGTCTAGGACTTTATCTGTGTCTTTAGAGGAACATGAGTTAATGTTGGATTTCATCCTTTTTCACA